GTATCATACTTTAAGCATTTCCTTCCAAATAAAAAAAAAGCAGATGTATCTGGTATTAAATCACATTAATATGAAGACTTTACTAAAGTGATTGGATACATATGTAATACATGAAGAGAACAAGTAACATATTTAATATATTCATATATATGACCAATTGAATTATGTAATTAAGAGTTGATTTATAATACATACAAGTTTTTTAAATGATCAGTTTTATGTATACGTATTATATAAAGAATGAAGGGACACAACCCTTGGTATGGTGGTTATTAACAGTTACCTGATGGGAGTAACTGTCAACTTGAAGAATACGCTTGTTGAGAACATATATATATATATATGGCATCCATACCCTATTTCATGCCTCATCCAGTACACAAAATCTCTGCATATCTTTATCCATCAAAAGGGCAGATTATGGTGTGAAACTGGAAGAAGTCGATGGAACAACAAGTACAGGAAACAGCATCAAGCCCCACTGTACAAGGTTAGATTTCGTTCATGTTCAATCTCGTTTTCATTGATTCATGTTTGATAGTTCACTTCTAGAATCTAACAACATATTGTAACATTAAAACCAACGTTTTGATTACTTTTCATCTATTATGGTACCATTTGACTATAAAAAATAAATATATGTATATTTTTTTATAAAATTATCATTGGTTCGTTGGTCAGTTCATTGTTTTTCATAAGTGAGGTCTAAAAATTTGTGTTCTCATTGTAGTATCAAAATATACATAGTGACACAACAAATTGATACAATTGACCCTATAAAAATACGACATTTTCTTATTAAAAAATGTTTTAAAAAACTTGTGTGACACCAAAAAAAGGTTCTATAAACTTATTAGAAAGTCTTCATATTAGGCGTTTTATTTTTTGGTCTTATAAAGCAGTTTATTAGAACGCTTAAAAATTAATGACGTTCTGTAAATGAATTTGAGTTTTATTTATCTCAACTTTATTGATTAATTTGTTCCCAAAAAAATGTGCAATTGAACTTACAAGATAAGAATTATAATGATCAACTTTTTGTCTGAATTTTAATTTGGTTGTCAAAATTTGAAAATTATCAGAGATAAATAACTGAAAATTTGCTATAGTTTTTTTTAAAATATATAATATTTATATAGAGCAAATGCAACAAATAAACTCACACACCTTTCTCATCTTTGGTGAGATTTGAACCCTGACCTCCTAAGAAGCCAAAGACTACGATACCGCTAAGCCAAAGACTCTTTGGTAAATTTGCTATAGGATAATAAAAGAAAGTAGGTTGTCATTTCTTAATCCTAATTAAATGCAAATAATGGTTATATTTCTTTGAAAGACAACAACTATATTTAAAAAAAGAGTACAACACATACTGCTATTATAAAAAGCAAAAGCAGAAACAAACAAATGGAACAAGACGACTAACAAAAGATGAAAAAACCACGAGCAATAGAAAACGAACAGACAACAAGACAAAAGAACCCAACTGACCACCTGAGTTGCAACATCGATCCATCTAAAAATGGTTTAAACCCTGAATGCAAACAAAAAGTCGTTTCTTCTAAATAAACTTTTTTTTTACAAAATTAAGCGTTTCCTTCCCATTAAAATTAAATGGTTACAAAATGGTCTGTGGCCTGGTGGTTTCGTAGTCTTTGGCATCCTAGGAAGTCAGAGATTCAAATCTCACCAATGGTGAGGAGGGTATGTGAGTTTTACTGATTGCATTTGCCGTATATAAATATTATATACTTAAAAAAACTAGAAGGGTACTTGCACAATGCAGCGAGATACATTTTGATTTTAATATTTCATTTTATTCTTTATCTCAGTCGATGTTATAATATGGTCTTATGTGATTTTGAGAAAGCGGTGATGTTTTTGTTTTTTAATAAAATATAAATGTGAAAATATCATAAAAATTTGATAAAAATATATCGATATTAGTGTCAAATTAACTATTTAAAATTCTTATTTTTTATGTAATTTTTTTATTTTTTTTAATATAATTTAATTTAGGTTCAATAACGAAGTAATTTGTATTTGGTTTAATAATATAATTTTCTTATNTTATAAAGATAATAATTAATTATTTTGTTAAAATTCGATAATTATCCTAATTATAGTTTATATTTTTTATATTTTAAAATGAAATGTTTATCTTTTATTTGATAATGTTTATCCACAATTAGTTATACAAATTTAAATATCGAGCTTTAATAAGTTGTACTTATGCATAATTTACTTGTAATTTTGAATTTTAAGTAATATGCATCAATATACAGTACTTCATGCATAAAAAATGGTTTTTAAAAGTTTTTGTCAAATGCTTTATAATATAGTATAGATAGTTATCATACTTTAAGCATTTCCTTCCAAATAAAAAAAAGTTGGTTATCATACTTTGCAATCAACCTTGTAAAGAACAAAGACGAAAAGCAGATGTATCTGGTCTTAAACTGCATGTATATGAAGACCGTGCTAAAGCATGATTATCAGTTAATGGATACATATTCAAACACCAGAAGCATCGTAAACCTTTCGATTCCTCTTGATCGATCCCTTACTTGTGGGACATCTGAATGGTGAAACAATCATTGATTCGATATTAAAGTTAAGCAGATTCTAGTTTTTGATACGTATAAATATTAGATAGACGAACGGAACAGATAAAAAGAGGATTTCAATAATTATAAGCACTCATTGCTTGTGGGCTTACTAAGATGATAAGTGGCCAACATTATCTCAACTTCTTCTTGTCTTTTTATCACTTTTTGCAAATTAAGCATATTCAAGAAAGGATAACAAGCTTTCATTTCATTTCTATTTATTGGGTACGATTTTAATCAACAGAAACGACTTTTATGCAACAATTTATATTGGCAAGAGCAGACTGTGGTAAGAGTCATTGTCATCACATACTGGGTAAGACTCACGGTTATTGTCTCACTCTTACTCGGTAAGATTATTGGTCCTTGTCATATTCATCTGGTAAGGTAATGTAACTTGGTCAGCAGTTACCCGGGTAAGCATTTAGTAAACGACCTCTTAGTAAAATGATTGAATTTAGAGAATTATGAATACAATTGGTTGTCATTTTTCGTTCTAATTGAACGCAAAGAATGATAACTAAAATCCTAAACATCTGTTTTACAAAGTTTAAAGATATATTCACTTGAAGATATTAAACAGTAATAAATGGTAATGAAAATCAAAAAGACTGTTTGTTTTATATAATATAATTGATTCATTTCCCCATAAACCTAAATCGGGAAATGAACTATCATCTGTCATTTTCATTTTTATTTTCCAACATGAATCAAATAAGTATTTATTTTTTGAGTATTCTCAAATTTTAATTGGTAAATTAATTTTTCTAGCAAAATTGGTTGTCAGTATTTGTGGTTAATTGTTTAAAAAAGGTTCAGATGTAATATTTCAAGTGTTAATGGTCTTTATATAAGGTTGGATCAGTTCTTTTTAAACTGTATTTTAAAAAATGTGTATCTGATATCTAAAATACAAGTTATGAAAACATCAGAAGTATGCTCATGTAATACTATGCGATTCATCTAGATTATGAAGTAAAAAATTTGGGGCAAATGACATGAAAAAGTAATGTACTTTAACTTGATTCATATTTTGGATAATGTACTTTCAAAACTTTCATTTTGATACTCTGACTTAGAGTATCTACAAGAGATTATCTATAATTTATTTAAAATATAAAATCAGACGTTAAAATATCCAAAAATATATATTCAACTCCAAGATATTTTCTATTTTGAAGATTTCAACAGTAATTATATTATTAATATATTCTATAATTTTATTATCCCAATACATTTTATAAAAGAAACTTTATATAAAATAATAATAGATCAATTTCATTGGTGGTAAAAAGAATCATTTATCTGTCTTTACATTCAGTTTTAGAGAATTTTCTAAACTCGGAGTTTTCAGTATTTTAAAGAACAATATAGATAATATGTTAGAGCAAAATAAATAATAAAATTTCATTTTCTGTATTTTAAACAATTTGTTAGAGATATTCTTACCAATCATTTTTTAAGATGATGTTTGGTTAGAGGTATTAAACAGTAATCAGTAATCAATGAGAATGAAAATAGAAGAAACTGTTTGATTTTCTATAATATAATGGGCTCATTCCTCCAGAACCCCAAAATTTTATTCCTGGTTAAATGAGTTAGAATCTTCAAATTTCTCTGTTTTTTTCTTCATTCTCAATTCTACGAGAATTTTTATGGGTGAAAAAGCATCTTCTGTAGTGACTAATTTCCAAGAAATTCAAGAATAGGCTGGATCCAACACGCACAAAATCCGAGAAAATATTTTTATTTATTATTTATCGTAAACGAGTGGTAAAGTAGCTCCTGGGTGGGGACGACATATAAGCAAAAAATCTCAAATAAGCTAATTCCTGTGGATGCCTATTTGTCGGGTTGTCCACTGAAACCAGCAGAAGAGCCGTTTTCAAGTAGTGTTCGATCGATTACAAATAGACATAAGGAAAGAGCAATAGGTCGAACCAACCTACAAAAACGAAACAGTCCCTCCATAACCAGTCATTCATAATATCAAACAAATCATTTTCGTTTTTGGTAAATCGAAGCACAAGGAGATTTTACTCGTTGGTGTCAATTAGACGACATAATATTGAGAATGCTTAATAAATTAGCAATTCAATAAGAGAGCTCAGATAGCTGCTCGATAATGTTTTGGAAGACTTTATATGTATTATTAATTTATAGTTCATGCTTTAAATAATTATATTTTTTAAAATTTAAAAACAAAAACTTGAGTGCTTTATAACCACTCCTAATATATTCTTTCTCTCAGTGGGGCTTAATTGTTTTAAATACTAAAATGTAGGGACTGTTTTTGGAATATATGAAAGTTTAGGGGGTTATTTGTCAATATAGTTTAAACTTTAAAACCGATCGTCCGGCCCCTTCTATAAATTCATACTCCTTGTTCTTCTGAGTAGCCGGATCACCGCCGATGTCCGAAGAGTAGCGATTCGCCGGAGATTATCTGTGCTTATATCTAGCTATTTATATAGAAGTTCTCCGGAATAATGGGATTGAGCGACGGCAACCTACACACGTTCATGTCTGATTTCGTCAGTAAATGCGGTGGCGTGGCCGTTATTGACGGTGGACTTGCGACGGAGCTTGAAAGACATGGTGCTGACCTTAACGATCCTCTCTGGAGCGCCAAGTGCCTTCTTACTTCTGCTAACCTTGTTCGTCAGGTATATATATATATATATATGCACCTCTGTCACTGTGTGTATGTGCTGGTGTTCTAATGGCGTTTCTATGACTAAATTGCTATTGAGATGATGATGATTATTTTTTTAAACGTTTAATTTCTGTTCATAGTTGTCTAGTGTTCATTTTGAGGAAACTTCGAGAAATATGTGAAGTAAGATGAAAATAAGATGCTAAGCTTCAGTTTGGTGAAACTGAACTCTTGTATGTTAGGCGCAATTGAAAAGGAACCAGAGTTTTTTGAAAATAAAATTCTGGAGGATTCCTTGGAATTGAAAGGAGGTACTGATCTCTGTATTGGTTGATTATGTTCCCTGCCGATAATCATCCGTTAATTATCTGCTCATGTTTAAATTTGTATGTAATCGGTTCATTATCTAGAAGCTACTTTCATATAAGTATAGAACATTTATTGCATGATCATAGGTTTTGGTTCATTAAGCCCTTAATTCAATTCAAATAAAGCGGATTGCTAGATCCCAAGTTAGCATCAGTCAGCATATACAAATCAGATTTAATTGATAAATTGTCATATATTCTTCCCAAAACTTGGCTTGTTGAGCCCTGCCTAATTTGCTCAACACCTTTTAAGGGAGATTATAGGATAGACAGACGTAAAATGCAGATAGGAGCAGGTAATTTATATTGATATAATTCTTCGAATTAGAGATTTGCTGTATTGTCAGCATCCTAAGCTTGTGGCCCAGATATAACCCTGCTAAGGACCAAATATTTCTTTAATTGACTGTCATAATTAGAACAGATATATCTCCAGCGGTCCTGTTTGCATGGTATGCAATTTGAAGTATATTTGACATTTGGCAAAACTCACACAAACTCCTCACGGTTGAACCCTTGATCTCGAGGGAGGTTGGGGTCAACCGGTAACCCATATACCACTGGGCTAAAGACCCTTTGGATCAAGTGAATGTTTTCTATTATTTCAGCATTAATAATTCCACTATCATGCAAACATTTCTTATTATTATCAACATTATAAGGAGACCCCCTTAGCATTCTTATAAGGGTATCGTCGCCGAAGGCAGGATGGGCACTTCCAATAGTTTATTGTGAAGTTAGATGCTATCCATTTTATTCCTTTGCATAGTGCATTCATTTGTCTCTTGTCGCAGGTACACCTTGATTATCTTGAAGCTGGTGCAGATATACTAACCACGGCATCTTATCAGGTAATTTTAATGGCCTTTATTGGCATCATACTCTCTCTCTCCCTCTCCCTCTCTCAATTGACTGGTGTTGGACAGGCAACAATTCAAGGGTTTGAAGCCAAAGGCTTCTCGCGTGAGGAAAGTGAGGCCATGCTAAAAAAAAGTGTAGATATCGCATGTGAGGCAAGGGATATATATTATGAGAGGTGTCGTGAATCTTCTAGTGATAGTGGTGGTGAGGGTAGAACTCTCAAGCATCGGCCTATCTTAGTTGCTGCATCTGTGGGGAGCTATGGGGCATATTTGGCTGATGGTTCTGAATATAGGTAACTTGATATTAATATTAAAATAGGGATGGAGCTATGTGTTCCTGTTGCTTGTTTGCACACCACCAAACCTGTAGCTTGTTCTCTTGTTTCTTCTATTTCCTTTTGTTTTGTAAAGCAGATGTCTTCATGGAAACAGCCTCTCTTCCCTTGGGTAGATGAAAGGTCTGCTATCATTCTATCCTCCTTAGACCCTACCTCTGCATGAGATTTACCGAGTTTGATTGGTGATTTGATTTACATTACTATTAAAGAGTTGCATGAAATCTTGTTTTCAGTTGGATTTCTGTCATCTTCACTTGTTTCAGGGCTAAATCATAAATGATGTGTTGAAGGATTTACTCAGTCTTAATGATCTTTACATATCAATTCTACATATATGAATCATGTTACCATATTGACAATTCATAGAAATTTTATTTAGATTGTCAAAGAAGTTTTCAACTATTGGTCAGTAGACTTCCATATGAACTGTGGATGCACATTCCCTATCCTAATTCTCGAGAATATAAACAGAAAATAGAACTGTAAAGACATGATAACCATTACAAATATCCCCGGATATCAGTCTTTCTTTTCTGGAATCACACATACAGAACAATTTTGTTGCTATGATGATGCTCAACTGGTATTAGCTTTCATCAAGTGAGTTACATGTGATTTTTGTGTTTGTTTTTAACACCCGTCTGTCCTCTTACAGTGGGGACTATGGCGATGCAATGAATCTGGAGTTCTTGAAGAGTTTCCACCGGAGAAGAGTTCAAGTTCTAGCTGAATCTGGTGCTGACCTAATAGCATTTGAAACAGTGCCAAATAAGCTTGAAGCACAGGTCAAGGCAAAATCTTTACCACCTCTAGATTTTATTGTTTCTCACTTTTCTGAACTCCCATGGCCAAAAAAGCTTCTCAATCTTCATAATTTTTTAATTTTCTGATACCTAAGAAATAACAAAACCCAAATTTGGGTCTTAGGCTATGATGGCAAACTAGCTTATACGCGTATTGTTGGTTGATAATGGTAAAAGAATAGCAGATAAGCTAGGTGACAATGTAAAATGATCTAAAATGACATGTTAAAAAATTGATTGGAAAATGTAAGGGGCATAACGGTAAAAAAAGCTCCTGGAGCTTATTGAAATGCTACTTGAAGTAGTGCACTTCTAAAATTAGCTAGCTTAGGTCTAACCAGCGGGGATTTTTTCAATAAGCTCAAAAATAAGTTAGCTGATGGTTGTCGCTTTACATATGGAAAGTTGCATTGGAGATTCCTATTGATATTTTTCTAGTACTTGGATAGGCTTTTGCCGAGCTACTTGAAGAAGGCATAAACATTCCTGCGTGGTTTTCTTTCAACTCCAAAGATGGTGTGAACGTGGTTAGTGGTGATTCCTTGACTGAATGTGCCAAAATTGCTGATTCATGCCAGAAAGTTGTTGCTGTAGGAATCAACTGTACACCTCCTAGATTTATCAGCGGTTTGATTCAAACTATAAAGAAGGTATATATTACTCTGTATTTTCTACTTCATTTGTTTGATGCTATTTCGCTCTGTCCATCTTCAACTCTTATTTGAGGGGTAATGAAGAATATTTTATTGTATCTTTATCAAGAGCCCAAAAAGCTTCACTTCCTTTATGACACGAAAAAAACCTTAGAGCAGCCAACAAACATGTCTAAATAGCTGAAAAGTTACAATTACAACATGCATGTATGGAGAGCATGATTGGAGAAACATAAAGAATTACGCATTTTACTAGTAGTTTCACGATTGAGCTGGTTTACTGTTTTTTTTTATAGAGAGGGGGGAGACCCCTCCAGATCAAGAAAGAGCTGGTTTACTGTTATATATGCTAGTGTGGGTATTGATATTGTGAGAATATGTGAAACCCCATTAGATTACTGTCCGAAAGAGCCTTTGAGGAGAAAAGGAAGGTTCCAACGTATATTGAGAAGAAATTGTCAAGTCTCGCAGATGTGGTACTCTAAGACGCTCCTCCAACTAAGGCTAGGTGGTCATAGATTGTCCTGGACTGTCGAGTCCCTAGAATGGTAAACCCCGGCTCTGATATCATGTGAGAATATATGGAACGCCATTAGATTATTCTCCAAAAGATCCCTTGAGGAGAGAACGAAGGTTCCAACTTCCAACATATATTGAGAAGAACTTGTTCAAGTCTAGCTGATGTAGGACTTTAACATGCCCCCTCCAATTGAGGATGGACGGTCACAGATTGCCCCAGAGTGGTAGACCTTGGCTCTGATACTATATGATTTGAGAACATATGGAACCCCATTAGATTACACTTCAAAAGAACCATTGAAGAGAGAAGGAACATTCCAACATATATTAAAACAAAAATTGTACAAGTCTAGCCGATGTGGAACAATAACAGTTCTAAAATTTAAACCGCAATGTAGGATCAATGATCCTAGAAACCCATAATGGAACATGCCAATTTACACTGGATAGTGATAACAGGATTCAAGAATTATGAAGTTCATATATGTGTTGTTACTCTAATTTGGGGATGAGAAACAACGGAATCGTTACAATCATTACCAACAGAAAATTTCATATAACGACTGAAGACTAATGTTTCATTCACAAAAGGTTTTTTCTGTTCAATTTTAATCTACTCGATACTTACATCTATATCTATGACCGATCTCTCAGGTGACAGCTAAACCGATACTTGTATACCCAAATAGCGGTGAAACTTATGATGCTGAACTAAAGCAGTGGGTGGTGAGTACTTCCTTTTGCTTTAACTTGCTGTCTTTTTAATGTTTGTTTGGATTCAAATTTATAGGCAAATAGGGGTTTAAATTATTTCTATATGATCGAATACTACAATATTTGCGGTTTTAACCACCCTAAAAGGCAAAATACTACAAAGTTCCATTTAGGGGATGTTTGGTTGGTTTTTCATCAAGTCTTTTATGGATAAAGTTGTATGCGTGGATTAATTTGTCTGTATAGATTAAGACGGCTTCTGTTTTGGAGGGTTTTTTTTATTGATGGAAGGAGCCTGTTTTTTTTAATATGGAGGGGCAGGTTTGGAGAAAACTTGGTTTTTTGCATAAGCTCCCCTTAGAAGCTTACTGAATAAGCCACTTTATATATCATTAAGTCACGACCAAATAGTCATTTATAGCTGACCGAATAAGTTGAATGTCTCATTAAGTCATTCATTTTGACTGGTAATCTGCTAACCTGTTGATCTTGTAACATTTAATGATGTGGATGCCCGTTTACAAAAGGTTTATGGTGAAGTGAGTGATGAAATTGATATCCACTTAATCAAATGTCACAAGATCAACATGTTACTGGTCAGAATAGGTAATAGAAATTATTTGTTACACTAAATGTCTAAATAGGTCAAATGTTACATTAAGTAGGAAATTTTGAAACTTAGTTACATTGTGAGGAAAAATTATTTGTTACCCTAAAGACAAACTTTGTAGTTTGACATATTTTTGCCCCACGACTTGGATCACGTGAGACCAACCTGTTTTCGTGAGATCCGTGAGACCACTTTTTTACACTTGAAACTTAAAAGAAAAATGCTGTGAAGGTCGGCTTTTTTTAGCTTCACAACATTTTTGCTGTGAAGTTTCAAGTGTAAAAAAGTGGTCACATGGGTCTCACGAAAATGAACCCAACCCTTTGCCCCACCCTATTCATTGGTCTTTATATAATTCTCATTTGAACCTCCCTATATATTCATATATTTTCATGAGGGAAGGATCAAATAAAAAAAGGCAAAAAGGTTCAAATCCTGCTTGGACAAAACGGAAGATTTTGTCAATAAAGAAGTACGTCTTGTTCATTAACATCTCGGAAATATTCCGCCATAGTTAGGGCAGTGAAACCAACTCTCACACGAGCTCTCGGCTGTTCATTAGAACTTAGGAATAAATGATTCATATGGGAATAATAGGTAAACCCGAAAAAAAAATCATTTTGAGATGCATATGTAAACCCACGTTCATCTACTTACCTTTTTACCAATTATTCAATACGTATCTGAACCCACCCTTCCTTTTACCAACTATTCACATATGAATCATTTATTCCTACTTTCTCAACCTTTTTATTGTATCTCCATGGATTATTTCGTATAGCAAGACATAAACAAGAATATGTACAAGTTGAAAGCAGTAGTAGATATTGGGTTCGTTTGGTTTGATTTATACGTAACGTCTATTTTAAGCAGAAAAAGAGTGGAGTTACGGATGTAGATTTTGTTTCATATGTGAATAAATGGTGCGAGATTGGAGCATCGCTTGTAGGAGGTTGCTGCAGAACGACTCCAAATACCATTAGAGCCATTTGCAGAACTCTTCCTGCCAGGTCTGTTTCCATATCACCCGCATGAATCGCCGAGTCCTTATCTTCTATACTTGTATAATCTAGAGGCGATTCGGCGTTGTTATGTACTTTCCGTTGTATACTAGTTTCGAACCATCTTTTACGGCACTTGTCTGAATCTAAATTATCGTCTTTTTGGTTTTATATGGCTCTTTTTCGGGATTTTCAAGATATGAATGCGTGTAGAAGCATAAATCCAACCAAACAAAATCAAATATTATCCTATCCTATCTAAAGGTATGGTCCGGTATGTCTCCGTAGGGTGTGTTTGGTACACTGAATCGGCTGAAAAGAGTGTGTTTGGCACACTGAATCGGCTGAAAAGAGTGTGTTTGGTATGACTTTTGTGTGCTCATAAAACGGTGGAACAAGTTTTTTTTTTTTAATCAATATACTCCGCAAAATAAAATTTAAGGGGGTGTTTGGTTCACATAATGTTTTTTTGGATAAAAGGGATTCTGTAAAAGGAATTTGACTTTGGAGGAATTAGAATGGAATGTTATTAGGTTTGACCATTTGTTTAGTTGACAAAAAATTGGTATGGAATCTGTTCAAAAAATTGGAATATGTCTGTTTAATTAACACAACATAGATTTGGAATTTGAATGAAATATTGGTAAATGATCAAAATATTTTTTTCAGATTGGTGGTGGTCGATGGTGGTTCAAATTAAGTGGGGAAGATGGGGATAATTTTGTATTTTTGAGAAACTGGGATGGAATGGAATTGAATTCCTTCTTAGTTGTGATGGAATGACCAAATTCATGAATGGTGAAATGTGTGAAGTTCAATTCCATTTCATAGGTAAACCAAACATCTGAACAGAATTTGGTCAATGGAATTGATCATTCCAATACCTTCGAATTCCATCGGAATCATGCTAACCATAGCGTTCCTTAATTCTCCTCTAAAGCATCAAATACTAATAATAAAGAGTAATATAGAAAAGATGTAAATTAAAAATTGGAAATTAATGAACTTTATATTTTGGTGTCATTTTAATAATGATATATTTTGTTATAAATAAATAAATAAATATATATATATATATATATATATATATATATATAAGACAAACAATTCATTAGAAGTAAATTGGTCACTTTATCAATTATGTCATGTCTAATCCTGTCTTTCTAAATGATGAATAGTTGTCATGCCTTGTCGGGGGTTAAGAAGTATGTAGACGTTATATGTTCCAAGAGACAGGAGCATGCAAACATTACTTGTTTTAAGAGACGGAAAAGATTGTTTCTCAGAAGACGTGAGGTGATATATCTCACCTAAAAGTATGGTATGAGGCTAAAGATATCACACTTTACTTGTCTCTGACAAGAAGCCTTTCTGAGAAGACCCTCAGCATATCCCATCTAAAAACATGCTATTAGGGTCAACAGTACGGATGTGTCAAGAGACATAAACACGTCTTTAAGAAGACCTCGGCTTTGGATACTTAACGCGTTAGCTACATCACTGCACGGGTCGATACGCACAGCGCCTAGCATGATTCCACAAGATCTAGTTTCGTTAAAATAAGAGATTTTTGAAAAAGGTAAGTGAAACAGATAAAAAAACACAAATGTAAGCCACATACCTGTAGAAAAAGATTTAAGAGATTATTATAAAAGAATGCAAAGATTCTACATATCCTAAAAAAACACCAAAGAAACTCTCATTTCCCGAAGACACCGAAAACATTCTCAAACTACCTCAGCCTTCCCTTTGACAACGAGAGACGAAAACTAGGGGAGCAAATGAGATCAAGATACCCCCAAATTTCCTAGTTACAAACGATGGATACTAGACGATGTGTGCATTAACCCGTGCAGTGTCATAGCTAAAACGTTCTTTTTATCCCACCACGCTCGGCCAAAAAAACCTCATTCAGGGTGCGTTTGGTATGCAGACTACATGGGACAGGACGGGACAAAAAAAATAGTCTCATGTTTGGCATACCATGGACAAAAAAAACATGGAACAAGGTGGGACTATTTTTAATTTTAGTGGGACAAATCTTGATTTTTTTTTGTTCCACCAAAAAAGGTGGAACAACATGGGACTAAAGTTAAAATGACAATATTTTGATTGATTTGTTGTAATTTTACAATTATTATATGATATAAAATAACATTGAACAACATTTAAGGGTAATATGGTCATTTTAATAGTTTTGTCCCGTCCTGTCCTAGTCGTACCAAACATAGGACAGACAATTAGTCCTGTCCCGTCCTGCCCTGTCCCGTACCGTCCCGTCCCATCCAGTCTGCGTACCAAACACTACCTCAGTATCCCATCCAACACTACATGTCCATCTCAACATGCTCATTTATGCAATAATTCTTTTTCACAAGTTCAAAACATACAAGTACAAATACCAAAGGTACAAGTCCAAGATGCACACACCTTATAACACATTTCATGTTGCTTCTCATTTTCTACCATAAACTCAAATTTTAAAGATTCAAGAATCAAAACCAATTCAAGAATCAAAACCAATCGAGTTCAAGTCAGCTTTGAAATGCCTCCTCACATCTGATCCTAGGAGACGGGTTCCACGTGGAGCCAGTCAGGGTTGTCGGATAAAGATCAGGAATCAAAACCCGAATAAATGCCATTTTCTCTCAACAATCTCTTCTCTTCTTCAACATAGCTTTTCCCCCTACTAGCTTGCCCAATATCCCTTTTCCTCTTCTCCTTTTGTGAGAAAGAAAGGTTTTTCTCTTTTTGTGTTTGCACATTTACCAACTGCTCGCCTTCGAGTAACGTGGCTCGAGTTTTTTGCCGTTCTTGGTAACTCTCTTCAGTCTCGTTGGCTGCACGGCTGTCTTTGCCCGTTGACCATGACCAATCGCGGTTGCGGTCGTCTTCTTTCGGTGGAGGGACTTTCAGGACGGATAGTCCACCTTTATAGCCGTGTTGACTCAAAGCTTCAAAGTCAATGCCTTTACTCTTCCGCTTTGCGGATTCAACTGCGGAAATGAAACTCGAAAGAATTAAATGAAGGCACCTCTTGTAACGGTAAGTCATGTCCCAAAGAGCTATAAACACCGGAACGACATTTTCATTGGACAGGATTGTGCAGAAGATAAACTTTAGGGTACTTTTGATATGCAGGGACGGACTGGACAAGACAGAACAAAAACTTGTGGTCCCATGTTTTACGCGACATTGGACAGAGACAGGATGGTACAGGGTGGGACAAAAATGCATATTTCTGTCCAACCAAAGTCGGTGGAAAAAACATCAAGGCGAGGAGACAAGATTGGTAAATTACTACCCATGTCGAATCAAAACCCTAAAACCTTCCATAGTTTTTTCGCTCGCCTATCCTACTCTCACCTGTCCAGTCTGGTCAACATAGCAACACACCCCAAAGGTATCAAGATAACGGTTTAAATATGTTGCTCCAATGAAAACACTAATCACATCGAACCCAACTTTTCTTATGGAACTTCTCTTACAGAAGTTGAAAATGGGGATTAAACCAATGGATTAGCATACCAAACAAGGGCGGACCTACATACAGAAATACAGTGGCACGGGCCACCGCTTCATGGTTTTGTCGTAATGTACCAAAAATAATGTTTCTGAAGGGCGCCAGCATATCGTTCAGTTGGATGCTCTTCTATTTTTTGAAACTAAACAAATGGCACAAGTTTGTAACTTCAGAAATGGTTAACATTGCTGCCCTCGTACAAAAGACATGGGTTTGAGTCCTGTTTTTGTCAAATTTCTTACTTTTCAGCTTAAATTGGGGGGGTTTTATATAGCTTTTGTGTTTTTAGAAAATGTCGTAGACAGGGTTCGAACACACGTTCTTTTCGTACAAAGGCAAGGAAACAACCAACAGATCTATAACAATATTATGAAAAGTTTCTATAGATTATTTTCTCATAGTCAAATGGTATCACCACTTCAAAAGCTTTTCTGGGTCCGCCTCCGATACTGAAGATGGAAAAAAGGAATCTAAGCAATGAAAAAAGAATCTAAGGTTTCCATGGATATCGATAAACAAGAATATATACTTCCCCAGAAAAGTTAGCAAGAGGGCATACTATATAAGCAAGGATAACAGATGTTACCTTTTGTTTTGGATGATCCACCGGATCTGATTTTTTTGTTCTTCGGAACTTGATCATTATCAGAAGCATCCGTATCACCACTTGAAGACTCATCAGACGAAGAATCGCTATCATCATCATTCCATGGCATCGTTCGTTTCATGATGTATTAGCTAGAGCAGCAATCTAAAAACATAATATATTCATATATGAATATTGATAAAAAAATCGAAGCTAATGAAATCTTCAAGCCAAACAACAAAGGATATGAAAAGATGAACTTATTCATTGTTGAAGAATCCCCGTCCAAAAATTGTCATCCCACCATACACATATTCATCAAGACATTTTACAAGAAGATGATAATGATATACATTGAATCAAAAACTAACATTCTATATAAAGTTGTTGGAATCATATAGTAGAATACATGATTGTGGAGGACATGGAGATGGTGGGTAGTAGAGGCCATTGACAATGGTGGTTATGGAGGTGGAAGTGCTGCTAAAAATGCTCTGGAGGTGGAGGTGGATGGTGGTAGTGGTCGCCGATGGTGGTGGTGATTATGGAGGTGGCCGCTGCACAAGAGTGGTGGAGGCAACCGGCAGTGGTGACCATTAAACCAAACATCATGTTAGGGTTACATCCAATGAAAGTATAAATTGGTAATTTTTTAGTTTTGTTTCATCCTTGTCCCATCTTGGTCCTCCTACTTTGGTGCCTGTTTGGTGATCAAACGTGGAACAGTAAGTTTTTATCCTGTTCCATGTAGCACCAAATGTGGAATAGTGAGTTTGTCCGGTCTTGTCCCTTTAGGAAAAGAGATAGCAAGCGGCTTTCTTTTTTGATTACCTTCCTCGCATACATATAAGACCAAATCCATTTGATTTCTAAAAAAGATTACTAATCCCTTAAAAAGGTGAATCTTCCGAAGTCATCACTCAGATAGACTCTGGTCTCAGACCTTTTGAAATGCATGTGTTAAGCATATAGCTAGCCTTACAGAGTTTGATAATAGTCTCAATCACAGATGAATGTACCAAACGCAGTATAAGCATCTAGATGTTAGGATCCCATACCCAATGCACAGAACCGTACAATTGATCATTATTATTGTACAAAATCAGTGGATTTCATAGCTACAAACTACATGAAAAATAGCAAAAAAGCACAATTTTCATAAACATTAATCAAAGAACAGTAGAAGATGATAACTCAGCCTAACAGAAGTTTATGGTGATACCTAACGACGTAGGTATACTTGCTATTAAGGAGCAAAACAACAGAAAATTTGGCAGGAAAGTATCGTAATTAGTATTAGAGAAGAATTAGGGTTTCACAAATAGTTGAATTCCTCGAGCGTAATGCCTAAAATCAGTAAACCATAAGAACAAAAACGGAAAGATGTATGAAAATACCTACCGGAATTACAGAAGGAAGTTAGTGCTTGTTGGTTATCTTCTCTGTCGATTCGCCGGAATTTGAAGACTAATCGGCCGTCCGATGGCACTGAAACCCCCAAATAACAACCCCCAGCTCGTCGCCTAGTTATGATTAAATAATTATTTATATTATCTTATAAAAAAAACCCTTAAATATTTTAAAGCAAACTATGAATTTGGTCCCCCTAGTTTGTCAAAGTCTACAATTTTTTGTATGTGAGGTTTTGATATTTCAAGATGGTCATCGTGGTTTACAAAAAACGTTCAGATTTAGTCTCTTTTTTTAGCAGCAGTTAAAAAATTCCGTTCCGTTAAATGAGAGGCATTTTTGTCTTTTTATCAATTTATTTGTTTAATCGAATCGATGAAAAATGGAACTCGACTCTTTAAGTTAAACGATTTCTATTTTTTGTTCAAAATCAACCCAAACTATGAAATTAAAGCTCAAATTCAAGATAAATTAGTTTGTGTTCGAGTAACTCATCAAAAAGATGTAATCGTTAATACAGATCTTTAGTTATAAACCGTCCTAACTGATTGCAAACAAAACGAGAACCAAAAAGATAAAACTAAAAGGAAAAGGGAGAAACATATCCACAAGTGTTGAGTTTTTTCACAACACAAAACTTGTTTCGTTCATATAGAAAGAGTAATATGAGTTTTGAAACATTTTTTCAGATTTCCATTCTTATCGTTTATAAAATGAGCAAGTCTAAAAGATTTTGCATGCATTATTAACGTCTGCATAATAATTTAACACTTGTGTTCTTGAAAAAAGGAGTTTTTTAAGATGTAAGACTCTCGGTCATTGTTATGTCTCTTCACATGTAAGATTATTGGTCATTGTCATGCTCAATCAGTAAGTTTTTATCCGGTAACCATTTAATAAATCGCCCCTTAAACCAAACCGAACAGATACAATATATCTCATTCGGATGGGTAGAGTCTTGGAGATCTTCGTATTTAAACGAAATCGGCGAGATACGTGTGTGTGTGTGTATATCATTCAAAGGTAGAGTAGAGCCTGAAAGATAAGCAGAGTCGTCTATTAGCATGTTAAATCTTGATTTTAGTTAATCTATATATCAACTAAAAGAAAATGAAAGTAAGTTAAATAGCTCATGAAATCAGTGTTCACAAGTTCCTAAAAGAAAATGAAAGATTTAGGGGTGTTTGGGAAAATGAAAGATTTAGGGGTGTTTGGGATTTGATTATTTGAGACAACTTATATTTTTTTACAAAAGTCCTTATCAACTTGTTACAAGTTAAAATGGTTTAACTTCTTCAAAAACTCCTTATTACCGGTTAACCGGTATAAGCTGTTTATCAAAACACTTAAAAGTGCTTATTACCAGTGTCACACCGGAATAAGTCAATAAGTTGTTTTTATAAACAATCCCAACACCCCCTTAATAAATCAACCAACAAGCAAAGAAGGAATAATGCAAACCAATTTCTGTTTCCTACCAATCAATAACAAATTGATACATAAAATCCTACCCCATATATTAATCAATTGTATTTGGTATCAAAAAATTTCTGTTAGTACAGGTTTTGTATCATCTTCAGGTTACATGTATGAAAATTTTGTTATTTTGTTCAAATTTTGAGTTTCCAGGTTGTACGGGTGATGTGTAAATGTTTTAATTGCAAGAATAAAACTTAAAAGCATTCAAATATTCAAACAAGATAGTTAAAATAACAATATTTAATATTCATTAAGTAAAAAAAAAACTAATAAATAATTAAATAAGTCAGTATTATACTTGGTATGATACTACCGAGTGTAATTGATACTAATTTAATTGATACAACTGATTTACATGTTTTCGATTTAGTATAAATTTGCCAGCCCTGATACCCAGTCATGTTTTCATGAACAACTTGGTCTATACCCACAGGCAAAATCTTACATCTGGTAATAAAACGCATCACTGTATCCAACACAAAACCATTTGTTTTCAGTCGAGATATGTATAAGCTCGTTTCGACACCCACCCGCCATCTTCCGAGTTAACAAAGACAGAGAAATAGAGCATACAGAAACACAGTAGGAAGATCACAGTTGTTAAAAGCGCGTCTAGGCTCTTACTGAGGCTCAAGATCTTGGGCTTTTTTAAAGTCGAGGCTAGGCGTATTCACGAGGCTCAATAAGGCCCTACGCCTTGTGGGCCTAAGGGCGCATCATAAAAATTTATTAAATAACTGGTCAAACCCTAATATTAAATAAGTTTTCTCATCTTCTCGCTCCTATACTTTTTTAAAAAAGAGTTGTTAAATAGATGATACAAGTTAAACCCTAATATTAAATACTCGGTCCTTAGAACTTCAAGCCTCTTTTTCTATAAATACTCGGGCCTTAAAACTTCTTCCTCACGGCTCAGGCTTTAAACCCATCTCAATTCCGCCTCTATCAAAGTACTGTTAGTTGTTGCATTGGAAGCTTGTACTTGCTACATTTTAGTTGTGTGTAACTGTGTGTGTGTATATATATACATATATATACATATGTATATACTTTTTTCTGTAAGATGCGCCTCACATTCCTGAGGCCCACGCCTCACACCAGCATTCCTGAGGGCCCCGGGACCCCTTTGTGCCTTGAGCCTTTAACAACTTTGAGGAGGACAACCGTACTTTTGAAATGCATTGGCTACTGTTGGAGTCCAACATCCATTAGACTCTGACCATTTCTCCTCCATGTATCTTGGTATCTCGCTTCTCTCCTCAATGGCTCTTTTAAAGGGTAAAATTTAATGGGGTTCTATGTATTCCCACATAGTATCAGAGCAAGGTCTACCGCTATAGATATTTGACACTCTAAGGTAATCTATGTCCGTCTATTGGTCCCATATCGGCTAGAGTTTGACCATTTATCCTCCAAGAGCTATGTTGGAGAATAATCTAATAAGGTTCCACATGTTCTTACTGGTACTACCTCCTACTATCTTAACTATGTAATTAAGTTCCAACTGTTGACTAAAGCCTGTGGCTTCAGATCTCCTTTCCCCATGTTATACTCGATCTAATTGACTAAGGCAGGCGGACTTTGCTTTCTAAAATTTGCCTTCTTGCCAGCAACACCCAAATTGGTCATCAAAGACTCGGGCGGTCGGGCCTGCAACCTATGTCATAGATTGATGACATAAGAACGAAAAAGCAAAAATATTTATTACCACTTCATCAGGTTAAGAAAGAACAGTGCATTTACAGATCAAATATTGCAAACGAATTGATGCAACAGGTATCATATTACTAGCTTTCTATTTTTTGTGCACAATTCTAGTGAACCAAGAAACCTGCAAGTAAATATATATATATATATATAGGGGAACAGTGGGTACCCGGGCCAGTTAGCACGCACCAAGTAATCCCCCGGGCGACCACGAATGACCTAGAGTCATTGCAGGTGAACTTCCATGGCCACAAGTGCTTTGACAAGACTCTAACCCGGGGAAGATGAGATTTTCCACTGTATCCTCTTAAGCCTTAAACAGTGTGCGACAACCCAGAGTTTAGGGCCTGTTTGTTAAAAGCTTAATGAATTTAATAGGACTCGGCTTATTCGGTCAGCTATATATGACTATTTGGTAGTGGGATTAATTATATACATTGTGTCTTATTTGGTAAGCTTCTAGGGGAAAGCTTTATTCAGAAAACCAAGTTTTTCCAAACCTGCCCCTCTCAATTAAAAATCACACTCATTCCATCTATACTCCAAATTTATACAGACGGATTAATCTACATAGACAGCTTTATCCGTACAGGACTTAAGGGTAAACCAACCACACAGCCCCTAAGCAAACTTCTGATCTAGTTCATTGCTTACCTTTCCCATATGGGTGTGTTCAAGAACTCTGATTTCAAGGCTTGACAAATTAAGCAAAATCAATTCAAAGGCTTAACCACATGATCACACAACCCTCAATGCCGATTCCAAACCATAATAAATAATTACTGATCTGTTGGGTTTGAAGGATCATAAACAGCTACTGCTATACTACCCTTTGAGCTTATCCAAGATCAGTCTGAACTTTGAACATACAATCGTCACAATCTCAAGGAACCCCAGATATAGTTGGTGATTTTAGTGTAATTAAACATTTGGTGTAGTTGTGATTTACTTGAGATCAATTAAGATGATGAGGCAAATAAAGTGAGTTAACAGATACGGAGTGCACGTTCACGAATGTTGCCCCTATCACTTTAGATCGCTAAAAGACGGGGGTCAAGGGGGCTGCGCCCCGATGTTTGTGGATTCTAAGAAGAGTTAGACTTAATTTTAGTTTCGGGAGGACCTGAACGAATTTCAGAAGGTTGGAAACCTTCTTGAAACTGTTCCCAAAATTGGTAAAAATTTGACTTAAGTCTAGATTAGAGAGAGTGCAATCAGAGCTCTGTACCGTAGAAAGAGAGTCCTGGACCATAGAAATTTGACCAAGTTAGAGTGGCTGAACCTAATAAGATAGCAATTACAACCCAAGAARTAATAAGTACTTGGCCGTGGTAGGAAACTAGAAATATACATATATAAGACCTTTTGTTGCCGTCAGAAAAAGAAGTCTTCTCAATCCTATCGGCAGGACTAATTTCAAATCACGAATTGACGCGAAATCCAGGCTATTGTAGATATAGAGCAATCAAGAGTGTGGAACCGGGGCTCTGGACCGTGGAACCGGAGCTCTGGACCATGAAACCAGGGTTCTAGATGTTGCTTCTGATAACTGCTTCCGGACTTTATGCGTTAGAGGTTATAACTGCCATACAGTTATATTTTAACTGTTTTAACTGCCCATAACAGTCAATCTCTCATTTAAATACATAAAACGTGATATGGTGAATATATATAGATATATATACGAATTTGTGCCTTAATTCGTGTATGAACTTTCTCGATTATCCCGGTACTAATTCCATGCAAGCCCAAGGCATTTATTTGGAAAGTGTCTTTCCATACACGGTCTAGAAATCTATCCAAGCTTTATAAAACCAGACTCATATTTCCCCAACAGCTATAATTCTGTGCAACCAGTTTAAATTCTACTTGGATACATAAAATTGCTTATTTCAATAACATCATAATCAAATTCACTCAATTTTTAGCTTTCTTATACACAGGTGTCGGATCAGGTACAATATCATAGCATTTTCGAGCTAATCGAACACATTGCAACCAATGTAGAGTCTCAGCATTGGGATCTCTTTCGATAAAAACATTGGAAACAGTAAGTTGGAGATTACCTCTGTAAAAAGTAACCTTCCCTCGCACTCGAGCAGAAACCCCTATTTGGATTAGGGTTGCAAATTTACGAGCCGCTTCAGCAATTAATCGAACATCTGGTGGGCTACGGCGGGAGAAATAGGGAGAGGTGAGTTGATTGAGCCAAAGGACACAGGGGATGCATCCGGTGCCATCATCGATGGTGAATCGAAGGAATCTGTCGGGCTTGTGGTCTCGGCTAGTAACGACGCCTAGGGTTTCGACACGAGAAAGGAGGAGGGTGCCTTTGCGATAGACTGCGTTGGGATTGGAAGAGGATGGCGTGAGGGATAAGAGATCGAAGGCCAAAAGCTTCACGTGAGTATCGTGGAGAGCTTCCATGGCGAAGATAAGGAAGCCTGAGAAAATTGGCGGGAAATAGCACCGCCGTCTGATTGGTGTCGTCGATTGATCTCTGACTTCCCGCGAAAGACGAAGAAGGTAATTAAGAGGCTCTATCCATATCCTTCCGGTTAAGGAATTAAAATTGAGGAATACGACTTGTTAAACTAAAACGTTGAGGATCGTGAACAATGCGCTCAAAAACCCTATCAACCCGATCAACTCAATCCAATTCAACCCAATATGAAATAATTTAATCTAAAACAATTGGTATCTAATTGAGTTGTAAAATTATCAAATCGTATATATTGGGTTGATATTAAGTTATTATTGTTTGAACTCAACACAATCCGATGAACCCGATATCCTTTTATTCTTGAATTTAATATGATTGTTGAATTTTATTAATATGTGCATTAGACAATTACACTATCACGTATGCTCTTCATATACATATATTTTCAATCTATTCACATATTTATATAACTCATACGTATATATGTTCAATAACTGTGAACATATATATGTAAATTGAGAAAATTAACTGAATGTGATATACGTGAGAAGTATGAATAAGTTGTATCAAATGCTTGATGATGAAAAAGAAATTATGAGTAGAGAAATAACGTATTCTAAGTTAGAAGAATATTTTAATATACTAAAGTATCAACTCGACCAACCCGAAAGCATTTTGGTTCGTGTTGGGTTGCATTTTGGTTCGGGTTGGGTTGGATTGAGATTTTTCAAACCGAAAGCATTGGGTTGAGTTGTTTAAATGTCTTCAACCCGATCAACTCAACCCATAAGCACCCCTAATTGTGAATATCTAGGAATTATTAAAGTTTTATATTTGAATTTATGTAATTAAGTGTAGATAAATATAATCAAATACTAAATAGATATCTCATTTTAAATATAAAAAATCTAAAATATATATTAGGATCATCATTGAATTTTAATCAAATATTAATTATTATCTTTATAATAAAATTATATTATTAAATAAAAAATAAATGAATTTATAATTAAATTATAACTAAAAAATTGATTAATTTATAATTAAATTATAACAAAAATATTGAATTATAAAAATTATATAAACGAGAAAAAACATGAACTTTAAATATTTAATTTGATACTAAAATCGATATATTATTTTCAAAATTTTACGATACCTTCAAATTTATATTTTATTTAAAAAATAAAAACATTATCACTTTCTAATTATCACATAAAAACATCTTATTTTAAATATAATTTTTTTTAAATATGATTAGGATAATCATTATCTTTATAAAAAATATATTGTTAAGCCATAAATAAATTACTTCGCTGTTAGACCTAAATTAAATTATAATAAAAATTTGGATTAAAGAAATTGTACAAAAACCGATAACTTTTAAATAGTTAATTTGATATATTTTTACAAATTTTTTATGATATCTTCAAATATATTTTTATTCAAAATTAAAAACATTATCTTTATCAAAACCATATAAATTGTACTACATCAACAGAGACAAAAAATAAAATGAAAAATTAAATTAAAGATGTATCTTGTTGTATTGTGCGAGTACCCTTCTAGTTCTTATCAAATAATAGCGATTCAACGATATCTTCAGGTTCAGATCTTCCATATTTTACGTTACAATGGCCCTTAATAGCGAGTGTATGTTTCACTCAGGGCCGTTCTTGGGGGAGGGCGACACGGGCGCACGCCCAGGGCCCAAAAATATCAAGGGCCCAAAATTTTCCCTTAAAATAAAATAGTAGTCTAAAAGAATTTAATAAATTAAAGAAATCCAAAAAATTGTAGCATATAATTAATATGATGCAAAAAGAATTTAGGTGATAATAAGGACTAAAAAAATATATCAACTAATTACATTACAGAATAAAATAAAAATATTAATTGATCATTCATTATATGCTATTGTTTCTTGCCACTCTAATTTTTTTTATTTCCAACAAGATCCAATGATATTGGTTATTACTATCTCTATATGTTTGACTATTTTCGTGCTTCAACAATTCAACTTTAAGATCATATGTTTGCTATTGATATATATTTTTGTTGGATATTTTTATCAATATATGTTTCCATTGACTATTGTTATTTGGTTATATTGTTCAAATTGTTTTTGTTGACTATTATTATCTATTTTTGCTTCTACATAAAATATTTTATTATTGTTTGACAATCATTCCATTGTTATTATAATTTGTGACGTATTTCATAGTTTTGTGATTAATCAATATTTTTTTCTACCAGATGTATTTAATAATATCTCTTATATATGTCATGTTACATAAACTTTCAGTCTTAACATCTTATTTTAGTTTAGCAAAAAAAGAAGGAAAATAGAATTTAAATATTTTCATAAATTGTTTTACTTATGTATCTTTCATTGCGATTCCACCATAACACAAGATTCTATTTAAGTATTCAAACAATCATTTGTTGAGCATGCATATTATATGTTTAATTAATTATTTATTTTTATTGGTTCTCAATGGATAATCTTTTCTTTCATATTCTTATTGATCTTTATTTGTCTATTTATCTAGAAAATCTTGATAATCTTCTTTATTATTTATATCTCATTGATGCTCACTAATACTTCTTTTGCACGAATTCTCTTTTTATATCAAAATAACACATATTTCTTGTAATGAACTAAAAAGATTCTTACTTTTTATAAAAATTTATCAACCATAGTTTTTATACTCTTGGCTTCAAATTACCTAATAAAAAATACGTAAATTTAAATACTCTCTTATATATCTATAATAAAGATAAATATGATTTCTTTTCTCAGTAAATTATTAGCATTTCTTGTACTCAATTTTATACTAATGAAAAACATTTATTGAGTTTATTTCCGTACTTACTGAGAGTCACTACAAGAAAAGTGAACTTTGACGATGCGCCTTTTATGACATGTTTCATGCACAAGTTATAATGACAACATGTTATATACTCTTTCTGATCATAAATGGACTTTTAGTGACGACAAAAATCGTTGCTAAAAGTCTTCTTTCTTACAGTGGGCCCTGTTTTTATGTTCGCCCAGGGCCCATAAAATATCAGGAACGGGCCTGGACTTTCACTATGTTTTGAGATGTGTTATTCCTTGAGATGGCACCATAACTTTGTGTTGGCTCGGTTATGATCTTCGACACTAATCTTATGTAGTCAGTATTCTTGCTACGCACATTAATTGATGGCCAAGGCTTTGTGTATGAAGGTTTTGTACGGAGATTGGAGATGGTTTTTGGTTCAATATGTTTGTCTATCGTCATCTTTTTCAAGTATTTATATTATCCAACAAAATATGACATTTACATGGTTTAGCAGAAAGCTTATATAATTGATATATGAACTTAGATGCAGCTACATTTCTTGAAAGGGGGGGGGGGTCACGGATAGGTCCCCTCTAGGACCTTTCCTCTGTATGGGAATTAGAGATGGCCAAATGGGCCCGGCCGGCCCGTAATCGACGGAGGCTCGTAACCGGAACCAGCGAGGGACCGGGACCGACCGGGACCGGTGGTAACCGGTTGTGAACCGGCGGTTATGAACCGGTTTGTGTTTTTAGCGATTTCTTGGACCGGAACTGGTTATGTAACCAGTTATGGGCCCGGCCCGGTCAACGAAAGTCAACAAAAGTCAAAATAGTCAAACTAGCCGTTAAAAGTCAAAGGAGCCGTTAGAAATGGTCAAACTAGCCGTTGGAGCCTCCTTATGACCGTTTTTTTTCATCTTTCTAGCTACCAAAACATGTATAAATAGATATGGGAGTTCCTTAGTTTGTTACCAACTCATCTCATCTTCAAAAACGCAAAAAACRCTATCAATTMTYGGTTTTTCGCTTCATTTTTTGAATTCGTTACRTATTAATTTCTCGTTTCCACTTCACAATTCTCGTTTATTTCTCTCTTTTACTTACGATTTACAAAATGGCCGGTGAACATCCATCAAACGAACAAATTGCCCAAGTTCTCGCCGAACACGGACGAAAGTCCGAGATTTGGAATTACTACAACTTGGTGGTTCTCACGACCGGGAAACGAAAGGCACAATGCAAAATGTGTCAAACTCTCCTTACGGTGGAAGAAATTCTACGTTAAGGAGGCACACCGAAAAAACGTGCCCGGGGTTGAGGTCGGGGGGTGATTCGAGCCAACCGATACTTAACATACAAGGTCAAATATGGAACTACGATGCCGATTTAAACCGACAAATGACTACACAATGTGTCATTCAAGTCGGTTTGCCTTTTGGACACTTCGACAACCCTCACGTTACGAAGATGATTCAAAAGACGCTACAACCACGATACAAGCCGGTAAGTCATCAAACCCTTAGACGTGATGCTCTAAAAATGTGGAAAATTGCCAAAGACGAAATGCAACAAATGTTTTCTTCTTTGCCTAACAATATTTCTTTAACGTGTGATGTATGGAGCGCACCATACAGATTGCCGGTTTCTTATATATGCATAACGGAACATTGGGTTGACCCTAACACATGGCAATTATTCAAACGTGTAATCGCATTTGAACCGTTTGGTGCGCCACATTCGGGTGCACGTCAATATTCGATTATTAAAAAAAACCTTGTATTTTATAATTTAACGGCTAAAATAATTAGTATTTCATTTGATAACGCTAGTAATAACAATGCTTGTGTGGAAAAATTAAAGTGTCATTTGACACCTATTTTAGACGAAAAATTATTTCATACACGTTGTTGTGCCCATATAATAAATTTAGTCATTCAAGACGGTTTAAATACTTGTAAACCCGTAATAGATAAGTTTAAACTTATGTTGCGGCGAATTTTCACTAAAGGTAAAAAAAAAATGCGACCTATAGAAGGTATTGCCAAGAAATCAGTTTTAGAGCTTTGGGACCGAACCACGATATGCCCGTTCGTTGGAACTCGATGTATTTTATGGTTGAAAATTTAATAAAACAAAAAAAATTATATTTTTTCTTTTTATAGAAACCATTATCTTCAAAACTCTATTGGGAATTTCGATTGGGTCGTGATTGAAGGATTGCACGACATTTTAGA